AGAAATGTATTTCTTTTATCCAGAATATTGTGAGCAAGGTAGTGCATTGCTGACTAGCATTAGATAGTTTAGCATATGACAAGCGTTATGAAAGCAATGTAACACCACCAATCTTGCCTGTTTTTATGTCATTGGTTTGGAAGCCCTTCGAGTGGTCGTTTACTTTCTCGCAAGTAACATTCGGAAAAACGCAGCGTCCAACAAGGCCAGTGACATGCTGTACCCATTAAGATTTACTTGTTTGTGTGGTCGCACTGGTATATATCGTTTTTTTTTTTTTTTTTTTTTTAAATAATGAAATCAATATTTACGGCATAAATGCACAGAATTATTTAATAATGAAGATAAAAAGTTTACTCAAATATATTGTTTTTAAATCATTTGGCTTGAGAAATAGGTGCGAAATTTTTGAAATTTTTCAATTTATTTTCACTTTCATTTTATCAAAATTTCTTAAAATTGTCAAAACTACTTTTAGTTTTAAAGCTTGGGATAAATCACTGAGAATTCGTGATTTTTTTGCCAGAAATACTTTTTTTTTCACTTTTTCTGGACATTTTTGCTTACTAACACCATAATTCCAAGAAAAAAAAAATAGTAATTTCTGATTCATTTTATTGGATGGAAAGGAAAAATCACTGAGATTTTTTTCCGGAGCCATTTTGGGAAGCTTTTTATGGCTCAGGGGTGTCAAAGTTTTCTCGTTCTGCCAGCTAATCTATGTAAAATTATTTCGGAAGCTAATTAGTTGGGAATTGGTGCCTGGGAAGCTTATACGGATCAAAGAGTGTCAAATCTGTTTGGCCTGAGAATCAGGTGCGAAATTGTTAAAATTACACAGCCCCGGTGTAATTACGCAGTTTCATTGCTTATCGGAAGTTGGTATTCTTTTGCAGATCACTGCGACAAAATGATCATGGAGCTATGGAGGCAAAACGAACTGGTCAAGAGTCTCGAAGGCGCTGACCAATTTATTTTCCGTGGAATATCACCAGATGCTTATAAATGTAAGGCTATTTTTTCGTCTTACAACAAAAAATCAAATTTCACACAATGTGTACGATCTGCGCCTCACCAGCCTTCTTTTAGGCCGGACTTGAAAGACAGAACCATCGGCAGCTACTAGTGAAGTACTACCCATCACTCGGACAACTACATTAACAGCCCAGTTATCTTTCCCACCATAATCCATTAAAAAATTCCACCCTCCCCCCGTCCCCCTGCCTCTTCGCCCTTAAAATTTAACGATTTTGCCCGTC